TTGCCTTTGGTAGAATTGCCATTTTTACTATGTTGATCCTCCCAATCCAAGAGCAAGGGAGATCCTTCCATTTTCTGGTATCCTCTTCAATTTCTTTCTTCAATGCCTTAAAGTTCTTGTCAAATAGGTCTTTCACTCCCTTGGTTAGAGTTACCCCAAGATATTTTATGCTGTTTGTGGCTATCGTGAAAGGTGATGCTTCTCTGATTTCGCTCTCTGCTTCCATATCCTTTGTGTATAGGAGGACAACTGAATTTTTGGAGTTGATTTTGTATCCTGCCACATTACTAAAGGTGTTTATCAGCTATAAGAGTTCTTTGGTGGAGTTTTTGGGGTCGCTTATGTACACTATCATATCATCTGCAACTAACGAAAGTTTAACTTCTTCCTTTCCAGTTCGAATCCCCTTGATCCCCTTATGTTGTCTTATTGCTATTGCTAGAACTTTAAGCACTGTATTGAAGAGGTATGGAGAGAGTGGACAGCCTTGTCATGTTCCTGATTTTAGTGGGATGGCTTTGAGTTTCGCTTCATTTAATTTGATGTTATCTGTCGGCTTGCTGTAAATAGCTTTTATTATATTTAGGTATGTCCCTTGTATCCCTAATCTCTCCAAGACCTTTATCATAAAGGGGTGTTGAATTTTGTCAAATGCTTTTTCAGCATCTAATGAAATGATCCTATGGTTTTTTTCTTTCAGCTTATTTATATGATGGATTACATTGATACATTTTTGTATGTTGAACCAGCCCTGCATCTCTGGGATGAAGCCTACTTGATCAAAATGGATAATTTTTCTAATGTGTTCTTGGATTTGGTTTGCCAGTATTTTATTGAGGATTTTTGCGTCGATGTTCATGAGTGAGATTGGCCTATAATTCTTTTTCTTGGTTGAGTCTTTGTGTGGTTTTGGTATCAGAGTGACTGTAGCTTCATAAAAGGAATTTGGCAATGACTCTTCTGTTTCTATATTGTGAAATACATTAAGTAGTATAGGTATTAGGTCTTCTTGGAAGTTCTGGTAGAATTCCGCATTGAAACCATCAGGTCCTGGGCTTTTTTTGGTAGGGAGGTTTTTGATAACAGCTTCTAGTTCTTCGTGACTAACAGGTCTATTTAGGTTGTTCACCTGGTCCTGGTTTAACTTTGGTATATGGTATTTATCTAAAAACGTGTCCATTTCTTTTACATTTTCCAGTTTTGTGCCATACAGGCCTTTGTAGTAAGATCTAATGATTCTTTGAATTTCCTCTGTGTCTGTGGTTATGTCCCCCTTTTCATTTCTGATCTTATTAATTTGCATATTCACTCTCTGGCGTTTTATTAGTTTGGATAGAGGTTTATCAATCTTGTTGATTTTCTCCAGGAACCAGCTTTTTGTTTCATTGATTCTTTGGATTGTTTTCTGTGTTTCTATTTTGTTGATTTCAGCCCTCAGTTTGATTATTTCCAGTCTTCTACTCCTCCTAGGTGAGTCTGCTTCTTTTTTTTCTAGAGCTTTCAGGTGGGCTGTTAAGTCTCCAATGTGTGCCTTCTCTGTTTTCTTTAAGTGGGCACTTAGTGCTATGAACTTTCCTCTCAGGACTGCTTTCATAGTGTCCCATAAGTTTGAGTAGGTTGTTTCTTTATTTTCATTGAATTCAAGGAAGACTTTAATTTCTTTCTTTATTTCTTCCTTGATCCAGGTGTGGTTCAGTAGTTGACTGTTCAGTTTCCATGAGTTTGTAGGCTTTCTGGGGGTAGGGTTGTTGTTGAATTCTAACTTTAATCCATGGTGATCTGATAAGATACAGGTGGTTACTAATATGTTTTTGTACCTGTGGAAGTTTGCTTTGTTACCGAGTATGTGGTCAATTTTCGAGAAGGTTCCATGAGCTGCAGAGAAGAAGGTATATTCTTTCCGATTTGGGTGGAATATTCTATAGATGTCTGTCAAGTCCAATTGATTCATTACCTCCATTAATTCTCTTAGTTCTCTGTTAGGTTTCTGTCTGATTGACCTGTCCATTGGTGAGAGAGGAGTGTTGAAGTCTCCCACTATTAGTGTGTGCGGTTTGATGGCTGCCTTGAGTTTTAGTAATGTTTCTTTTACGTATGTGGGTGCTTTTATATTAGGGGCGTAGATATTCAGGATTGAGACTTCCTCTTGATGAATTGATCCTGTTATGAGTATAAAATGTCCCTCTCCATCTCTTCTGATTGATTTAAGTTTGAAGTCAAGTTTGTTAGAAATTAGTATGGCCACACCTGCTTGTTTCTTAGGTCCATTTGCTTGATAAGCCTTTTCCCAGCCCTTTACTCTGAGTAGGTGCCTGTCTCTGTGTTTGAGGTGTGTTTCTTGTAAACAGCAGAATGTTGGATCCTGATTTCGTATCCAATCTCTTAGCCTGTGCCTTTTTATAGGTGAGTTGAGCCCATTGACATTAAGTGATATTAATGACCAGGGGATGTTAACTCCGGTCACTTCTTTAGTAGTAGAGTTCGTGTGCGTCCCTTCTTTGAGTTGCGCTGGTGACGGGTCTCTAGATGTCTGAGTTATTGTGGTCATTGTTGGACTCCTTGGTTAGAGATTTTCCTTCTATTACTTTCTGTAAGGCTGGGTTTGTGGCTACGTATTGTTTAAATTTGTTTTTATCCTGGAAAATTTTGTTTTCTCCATTTATGGTGAATGAAAGCTTGGCTGGGTATAGTAGTCTGGGCTTGCATCCATGGTCTCTTAGTTTTTGCAGTACATCTATCCAGGACCTTCTGGCTTTCATGGTTTCCATAGAGAAGTCAGGTGTAAGTCTGATAGGTTTACCTTTGTAAGTAACTTGGCCTTTTTCCTTTGCGGCTCTTAATATTCTTTCTTTATTCTGTATTCTTTGTGTTTTGATTATTATATGGCGAGGGGATTTTTTTTTTTTTTTGATCCAGCCTATTCGGTGTTCTGTATGCTTCTTGAACCTTCATAGGTATATCTTTCTTTAGGTTGGGAAAGTTTCCTTCTCTAATTTTATTAAATATATTTTCTGGACCTTTGAGCTGCACTTCTCCTTCTTCTACTCCTATAATTCTTAGGTTATGTCTTTTTTTTTTTTTTTTTAATGGTGAAAAAGTGTATATTTAGAATTAGCCGGCTGGGCTCAGTTTAGATGATTCCGATCTTATTGGCAACATCCAGAGCATCATAATCAGGAGCCAACCGAACATACGCCTTCTTCTCTCCGTCGGGCCTTATGAGGGTGTTGACTTTGGCCACATCAATGTCATAGAGTTTCTTCACAGCCTGTTTGATCTGATGCTTGTTGGCCTTGACGTCCACAATGAACACAAGTGTGTTGTTGTCTTTTATCTTCTTCATTGCTGACTCGGTGGTCAGGGGGAATTTGATGATGGCATAGTGGTCAAGCTTGTTCCTCCTGGGCGCGCTCTTCCGGGGGTATTTAGGCTGCCTTCGTAGCCGCAGGGCCGCCGAAAGGTGGGCGATGTGCGGATCTTCTTCTTTTTGTGGCTGTGGACGCCTTTCAGCACTGCTTTCTTGGCTTTCAAGGCCTTCGCTTTAGCTTCGGCTTTGGGAGGGGCGGGAGCTTCCTTCTTCACTTTCGGTGCCATCTTGACGAAAAGGGGTCAGGTTATGTCTTTTTATTGTGTCCCGAATGTTTTGTGATGAGAGTTTGTTGGATTTGCTGTTTTCTTTGATCAGTGTGTTTATTTTCTCTATGGTATCTTCAGAATCTGAGATTCTTCTATCTCTTGTATTCGGTTGGTTATGCTTGTTTCTGTAGTATCTATTTGTTTACCTAGATTTTCCATGTCCAGCCGGCCCTCTGTTTATGTTTTCTTCCTTCCCTCCATTTCGGTTTTCAAGCCTTGAACTGTTTCCATTATCTGCTTGATTGTTTTTCCTTGATTTCCTAGGGTATCATTCACTGATTTACTCAGTTCTTCAAACTTTCTGTTATACTTCTCATCCATTTCTATAAGGGTGTTTTTTAAATGCTGTTTCTCTATCACTTTCATAAGGTCAATTTTTTTTCTACTTCTTGATTAAGGTGTTCATGTCTTCCTGTTGTGAGGCCGCTGGGTTCTGGTGGTTTCATGTTGTTTTTCAGATTGTTGGGTGAATTCTTGCATTGGCGCCTGCCCATCTCTTCCTCTGAATGCTCCCCTATGGATCTCCTTTCACAGGATCAGGTCTCTTTGCCCACTGATGTACCTTCCCAGTGATGTCACTCCCCAGTGATGGCTCTCCTGGTGCCTAGATCAGATCTCGTGCTGCTTGGGTAGCTCATAAACAAAGGGCCTACCTTGCTTGCTGCAGGCAGGCTATTGAGACAAAGGAACTACCGCCCTCCCCGTTGCCCTACCAATTCGGATTCGGTCCCAGCGCCTGAACAGGCTGAGCTGGGAGATGGTATGTGGCCAAAAGGGGGAGGGAGACAAACGGGGGGTGGAAGGTTCTGGATGCAAGCTGGGTGGGATAGGAACAGAGAGGAGGTATCGGGCAGTATAGCCCCTGCAGGATGACCAGGAAGTGTAGGAGGGATGAGGAACGTCTGAGTTCCCTGTCCCGAGCTGCTGACGTGGGTCAGAAACTCACTCACCCCAATGATGGCTCTCCTGGTGCCCAGATCGGATCTCCATCCGTGCTGCTTGGGTAGCTCGTAAACAAAGGCTGTTTTTTTAATTTTTTATTTTATTTTATTTTTCTGCTAAATTGCATCTATAACTTCTGCTGTTTCTTTACATCAGTTGTAGCCATCTGAATACTTTTGGGTATCTAAACATTTCTCAATAGTTTTCTTCCTAAATCAGCCTGGAACAACCATTTCTCCGTATTTGTTTGATTGTTTTTTCTTTCTCCCTTTCTTTTGAGACAGGGTCTTTCTATGTACTGCTAGCTATTCTGGAGCTTGCTGTGTAGACTGGGCTGGCTTTGAACTTCTTCTGTCTGCCAAATGCTGGGATTAAATGTGTGTGTTACCATTCCTGTCTTGCCTGATTGATTTCTATATATCAAAAGTCATTTAAAGCCTGACTGATTTAGATGTTCCTTTCTTTGCCAGGCTTGGTGGCACATGCCTTTAGTCCCAGCATGTGCGAGGCAGAGAGAAGTGGATCTCTATGAGTTAGAGGCTATAGAGTTTCAGTACTTTAAAGGCCATGTAGTGATAACTCTGTCTCAAAGACAAAACAAAAAACCTTAATATCAATACTGATAAGAGATAGATTCTTTTCTAATTTTGAAAACATTTTTGTTCTGTTACTATTAATGTCCAGGTGTAGTTGTTCGTGTACTGAGTTTTTTAAAGGTGAGGTCTCTCATTTCTATGTACTTAATACTTACAATTTCTGGTATTCAGTAATATTTATTGAGTGAATGAATTGTATTTCATTATGTAACTTTCTCTAAAAGTTTGAAATGAGTAGTTTAATACTGAGTATTTTATACAAGTTTACTCATTCATTCAATAAATATTTATTTTTAGGCACATATTAAATGACATGTATAGATATATAAAAATGGCATATAACATAATTATGTAAAATAATTAATTATATGTGATAATAAATGTTAAGGTGATAATTTTAACTTTTTACATCTGCAGTGTTTTTTTAAAATTTATTTTAGGTATCACTACTGTTGATCCAGAGTACTGAGAAAGAAAATAAAATGAAAGAGTTAACATTTCTGCTAGAAGAATCCAGAGACAAAGTTAATCAATTAGAGGAAAAAACAAGTAAGAATTTATATAAAAATATAGAAGTGTGTTTAGTAAATTCTTTTGTTCTAAATTTTTGGATTTTTCACAATTTTTTTCATGGTATTTTTCTAGTGCTGTAATCTTTAGCTTGGTTTGGAACATTTGAAGGAGGGCATAATTGAATCACTTGAGGATCCCCAGCTAATACATCTTATATTCTTTTTCATCCTGTAGTTTTGACTGTTTCTTCTACTCAAAAACTGTGCCTCCCATTTTAAATTTGTTGGTTAAATTCTTCTATATCCATCTTTACTCTTAGTAAAGATCTTCATTGCAATTCATTGGAAAGAGTGGATCCTCTGAGACAGATTTTGAGATAGGATCTTTGACTTAAACTGGAGCTTGCTGATTTCACTGGATAGAATGGCCAGCAAACCCTAGGGATTCCCCTATTTCTGCCTCCCCAACACTAAGGTTACAGGCATATGCCATCTCACCCAGCTTTGTTGTGTGTGCTCTGGGGGATCAAGCTTAAATTTTCATGTTTGCACAGCAAGTACTTTTCTGATTGAGTCATCTTCTCAAGTCCCTGCCATGACTCAATGAGAATGACCCCCATAGGTCCTATGTTTGAATACTTGTTTCCCATTTGGTGGAACTGTTTGGGAAAGATTGGGGTGTATGGCCTTGTTGGAGGAGGTGTGCCACTTGGGGTAGACTTTGAGGTTTCAAAAGCCTGCGGCATTTCCAGTTTGCTCTTTGTGTTTCTGTGCCTGGTGCTTGTGGAACAAGTATTGGGAACCAAGTAGTCAAATATATGATATATGGTGGGCATTCTCATTTAAGCCACCACAGTGAGCTGGGAAGATGACCCAGTCAGTAAAGTACTCATAACTATTGCTCAGAGACATGCCTGCCTGATGCCATGCTTCCCTTCATATTGGTAATGGACAACCATTCTCCGCCACAGTAGGCCTCAAATTAAATACTTTCTTTTATAAGTTGCCTTAGTCATGGTGTTCTATCATGACAATTGAAAAGTAAGACATTTGGTTTTTTAAAGAAGTCAGTTTTCAGGGCTGGAGAGATGACTCAGTGGTTAAGAGCAGTTTTTGCTTTTCCAGAAGACAAGGATTCATTTTCCAGCACAAAATCTTTGATTTTTGAATGTTAGAATATGATATTTTAAGATACCGAGACAGTTTTATAGTTTCTGGAATTTATAAATTAATACCCTTTATTATTTACATCTTGAAGATTCTTAGCAGTAATGTTTTTAGATATTAAGCTGTTCCGTTATGTTTATTATAGGAAAGATCTTTCTGTGTAGCCAAGTTTGACTATTGCTTTGCTATGTCAGCTTAGGCTGGGCCTTGAACTTGTGATCCTGTTCCCTTAGTTTTGTGTGAACTGAGGTGTTTTATAGGCATAGACCACCATCCTGAGCCTTATTTGCATTGGTCTGGTTTCCTTTCCTTAATAAAAAGAATGTTTAGCAAAAAACCCCAACACATAGCAAAAAACTTTGGTCATCTAAAAATTGTACCTCTACCATACTCATTTATATTAAAATAGATTTGCTTTAATATTCCTCATTTTGCTTAATATCTTTTGATCTATCTTGTAATTCACTTTTTATTTTAAGTTACTGAATGGTAGGTTTCATTTTAGTATTTAAATATCTTTATTTCATTATACTTTATTTTATTCATTTTGCATCTTCATTGCCCTTCTCTATCTTTCCTTCCCCTCTCTTATTTCTTTACTCTGTGTCAAATAGTTTTTTTGCTTTCATGTAATAAAAATCCCATTACATTTCCTCTTTCCCTCCAAGATCTTTTGTTCTCTGAATGACCCATATTTCTCTCTTTCTATCTCTCTCACATAAATACACACTTATCTAGATTCCATATATGATACAAAGCTTATGAATTTGTCTTTCTGAGTCTGACTCTTAGGTTGTTGGTTACTTTTTACCTTTACTTTTTGGGGGCCCACCACACAGCTCCCAGATAAATACGTGGAGAGTTATTCTTTCATATGAATGCCCTGCCTTAGCTTGGCTTGTTGCTAGCCAGCTTTTAAGTTATTTCATCTACCTTTTGCCTTTTTTCTTTTTTATCCTTTTCTACTTCTGTATATATTTTCTTTCCTTCTTATTCCATGTCTTGCTATGCTGCTGGATGGCTGATCCCTTGCTTCATCCTCTCCTTCTTTTCTCGCTCCTTTTTGTTTCTGCTTTTTTCTATCTCGGCCTGCCAGCTCCGTCTCTCCTACCTAGCCATGGGTCGTTCAGCTCTTTATTAGAACAATCAGGTGTTTGAGACAGGCAAAGTAGCATGCTTTACAGAGTTAAACAATTGCAACATGAACACAACATGCCTTTGCATCATTAAACAAATATTCCATAGCATAAATGAATGCAACACATCTTCAATTAATATTTCACAATAGACTTATTTCACTTAACCTGGATTAAGTGATGGATTTCCAGTTCCATTTTCCTCAGAATATGACTTCATTTTTCTTTATGGCTGAAAAACATTTTATTGTGCATATGTACTATATTTTTTTTTAAAATGGATTTGCCTGTTGAACATCTAGGCTAGTTCGATTTCTTAGCAATTATGAATTGTGTGGAAGTAAATATGTATGTGTCTTAGAGTCCTTTGAGTATACCTAGTAGTTGTGTCACTGGGTCATACAGTAGTTCTGTTTTTAACATCTAAGGAACCTCCATAGTGGTAGCATTAGTTTACTTTCCGACCAGCAGTGTATGAATTGTTTCTTTCCCCACATCCTCACCATCATTTTTTGGCATCTGCTTTCCTCTTTCCCCTTCCTCCCTCCCTGGCTTAAATTTGCTGTGTAGTGAAAATTGACCTTCAACTCCTAATCCTACTACTTCCATCTCCCAAGTGCGTGGATTACAGGCTTGTACCACCAGGTCTGGCATATTTTTCTGTTTTTTTTGTATATGATATAAAATGAATAATTTTTAATACTATGTTAATTTTTATTAGCATGCAAAGTAGCAGTTTTCTTTATGGCATTCTTAAACCTTTTAGGCTTTGGTTGATCCCCTCTCCTACCTCTCTTCTCTTTTCCCTGTCCTGTTATCAACTATACTCTTCCACCCATTTTTCCCCTTTTCATTTTTATATCATATATGTTCTTTTGTTATTCCTATGTGCTTTTCTTTAAGGCCTCTTTTACTCCATGTCTTGAGACTCTTTGTAGTTTCTTGATATCTGTTTTCTTGCCGATTGTCACTAAGTGTCTTGTGTTTTGTTTCTCTATTATGATATCCCTCCATTTTCAGTTACCAAATTATTGTACACAAGTTTACTTCTTTTATTCTTTCTACCTTTTATAGTTTTGATGTTTCATATTTTTGTCCTCATTTTCATATTGGAATTTTACTTTGTCAGGCTCTACAAATGTTCTTGGGTGAAAAATAGACTTTATGATTAACTCACTTCTTTAGATTCCCGTTTTTCTTCATTTTTGCCTTGGTAAATTCTTATTACTCTATCAGGAGTTGAATAGACAATATAACTGAGTTGAATAGACAATATCACAGGCTGGCCTTAAGTTCTATATCTTTATGTTGAATCTCACAAAATCTGGGATTACAGGTATATAACATGCCTGACTTCTTTTATTATTATTAGGTCATGTAATTTCATTTTAGAATTTAAGAAAGATTAATGTATTTTATTTTATGTGTATACGTGTTTTGTATACGTCTGTGTACTATGTGTGTACCTGGTACTCATGGAGGTCAGAAGAGGGCATTGGATCACCTGGAACTGGAGTTATGGATGGTTGTGAGCCACTATGTGAATGCTGGGAATTGAACTCGGGTCCCCTGGATGAACAATATCAAGTGGATGCTTAACTGTTGATCCATCTCTCTGGCCCTTCATTTGTAGAAGTTTTAAAAGAAAAGATGTACTTACCTATCTACCTACCTACCTACCTACCTAATTTCGTTTTATGATACAGTCTTGCCATGTAGCCATGGCTGTCTTGGAACTTACCATATAGGACAGACTGGCTTTGACTTTGTGGCAGTCTTGTCTTTGCTTCTGGAGATTAGACGTGTTTGTTACCACATCTGACTTAATTTGAAATATATATATATATATATTTTTTTTTTCGAGACAGGGTTTCTCTGTAGTTTTTGGTGCCTGTCCTGGAACTAGCTCTTGTAGACCAGGCTGGCCTCAAACTCACGGAGATCTGCCTGCCTCTGCCTCCCGAGTGCTGGGACTAAAGGCAAGTGCCACCACCATCTAGCTTGAAGTATATTTTTTATAAGAAATTTATTTGCATCTTCTGAGAGTCTCAGAGAATTTAAGAGTAGTTTTAGTTTTGGCTTAGAATAGAATAGCATACATTTAGTTTTGGTGCATGCTTAAAGGCAGACTTATGATTATGACAATTTGGAATACCATAGTATCTATTTTTAAATAATCTGGTAATAAAGCTTTCTCTATAATGATTATAATGCTATAGTCACTAGTCATCCATCATACTCTTATTCTTCAGTTCTTTTTTTCCTTTACAGTTCTTGGAGCAATTGTAGTTTGGAGTTATTAGTTCTAAGTTAACTTTTGTTACAGATTTTTACCATACCGAATTTCTTAACATTATTTTCTTTATAATAACATAGAACAGCATAAAATAACTTTCTCTGTCATCACATCAGATTCAGCAACGTCCAGAGGCAAATTCTGAGCCCAGGCAGCTAGTTATTATCAAGACACACAGAACATGTAAACTCAGACACCCAAGACCAGTCAGAAACAAGCATGGCACCACTGCCTCCACCACATCCAGGAAATGCCTTTTGTTCTAATGGTTTCTTATATGCTACTTTATACTGTAAAGTCATATTTCAGTTTTTTTTTTTTTTTCGAGACAGGGTTTCTCTGTGGTTTTGGAGCCTGTCCTGGAACTAGCTCTTGTAGACCAGGCTGGTCTCGAACTCACAGAGATCCGCTTGCCTCTGCCTCCCAAGTGCTGGGATTAAAGGCGTGCGCCACCACCGCCCGGCGTATTTCAGGGTTTTTCAGCTGGTCATCTGACATGGTTTCCCCTGGAAATGTTCTGTTCGCCTTTTAAACTTTGTTTAAAAGTTCCATCTATTTTGTGTGTATGGATGAAAATGTGTGTGGCCACATGCTTGTTTCTGACTGGTCTTGGGTGTCTGAGTTTACATGTTCTGTTATTTTATACTGTTCTATATATTGGAACATGCTTCATAACTGGATCTCTGTCCCACAGGGACTGTGAACACTTAAAAGTCTGCCTTATTCTTTTACTTAGACTAATGGCACACAATTAGCTCACTTTCAATCAGGCAAATTCAATCTAGACTAAAGGCTTTTTAAAATAGATCATAAGTTTAAAACTTTATAGCTGTGCACAAGGTCAGAGCTGCAAATGTCCAACCAAGCTTGGACACAAAGCACCCTAAGAAAAATATACCAATTCTTTGCTTGTCAAGTCTGTTAACCAAAGACCTATGTCTCAAAGCTTATCTTATTGTACACCCTTACTCCATTCTCTTACTATGGTCTCACTCCTCTAACCTTGGATCCTTGTGTTGCCATGGCAATGGCTCAGCTCTTAATTGCTTACCCTAGGAATGTGCTTTTGACCAATGAGAGGTAACTCTTCTAAAATTTTTATTGCTTTAAGGCTTCTGTAATGAGAAGAGTTTTTAGAATAGAGGAGAAGAAGCTAGAAGGAGAAGCCAGGAGGAATTAGAAATAGGACAGGAGAATGGACAGAAGAATTATAATTAAGACAGAACAATAAAGAAACTGATTTTAAAAAGCACAGAGTGAGAGATTCTTTGGCTCTTAGATATCCCAAGTTCTTCTCTGGCCACTGTTTCCCTTCTGAACCCTGAATGGACCTTAGGGCTGGACCCCAAAAGGACCTCGTCAACCTTATCTTGTGTTATAATAAGAAAAAAAAAATCCTTTCCTTCAAAACCTTGAAGACTTCAAACTATATCTTTGAAGACTACCTAATCTTGGGTTTTTGCATGCTCCCTATTAGTTGTGATATTTGTGAACACATAGAGCTTTAGTATCCTCCACAATAGACAAAATGCTTTTTATTTTCAAACCTTTTTTTTTTTTGAGAAGGATTATGGGATAACTGAGTTACTCAGTTATTTTTAGATACGAGCTTGCCAAATTGCCTAGGTTTTCTTCCAACTTCTAATCCTTCTGCCTCAGCTTCCCAAGTACCTGGTATTATAGACTTGCATTCATTGTACCTGACTCTAGAAATAGGACATGATCTGTATAAGCCACTTGACTCCTTGATAGTAGTGTACAAACAAAAATAATAGTCTATTAATCTTCTTGTTAAAACTGGGTTATATGTCTTTTTTATTCTATTGTAAGTGTAAATGGTGGATACTGAAAAAGATTAAAAATGTTCATTTTTGGGGTTTTGAGGAAAATAATCTTAACAAATTTAGTGTGTATATTTAATTGTTCTTATTTTGTACTATTTTCTAGTAGAGGAAAAGGAATAATTGCTATAGCAATTAGTTTCCTTGAAAGCCATTTTCTGTCAAATAATGCCTATCTATAATTTATCTTTTAGAATTACAAGATGAAAACTTAAAAGAATTAAACGAAAAGAAGAGTCATTTAGCATCAGAACTTGAAGATATTAAAATGTCATTGCAAAGAAGTATGGTATGATTTAAAAACTAACTAGTGTATGTCACACAATCATTTAACAAATTTTTATTGGATATGACTAAAATGTATAACCACTCAGAAATTCAAATAGAAAAGACACAATCCTACCCTATAAATGCTTCTAATAAAAGGCATTGGTTAAAAATACCTAAGTACCAATAGCATGACTCAGGCTAATAAATTGTCACAATACTTCTAAGAATGGAGAGTATGGGCTAACCTGTCTGGGAAAACTCTGTGGAGGGATCAGAACTATTGATAATGGTGAGTAAAATATGATAGTGGGTGGGTTAGTCCAAGGAGGGACAGTGGAAAGGAGGGCAAGAAGGCAAACCAATTTATAGAAGCAGATAACTTAAAGCCTTTTTAGGCCTTTGCATTATTCTTTCTGTTTTGTGCTTTATTTCACTTAGAACACTCAGAAGGCTTTAGAAGAAGATTTGCAGATAGCAACAAAAACAATTTATCAGTTCACTGAAGAAAAAGAAGCTCAAATGGAAGAATTTAATAAAGCTAAAACTGATCACTCATTTGTGGTTACTGAACTTAAAGCTACTATATGCAACTTGGAGGAATTATTGAGAACAGAACAGCAAAGGTGAAATATTTCTTATTTTAAACAAATAAAGACATAAAAGTGATTTAATATTAAGTACTATTTAAAGTCAGGCATTTTCTGGAATAGTTACCATGCATGCTTTACAGTGGGGTCAAGTATAGATAAGTCCTTAAGTGTTCGTAGAATGATAGGACATATTTACTAATACTGTGGATCAGTGGTTCTCAACCTTCCTAATGCTGTCATCCTTTAATACAGTTTGGCATGTTCTGGTGACCTCAACCATAAATTTATTTTTGTTGCTACTTCATAACTATAATTTTGCTACTGTTTATGAATTGTAATAATAATTATTTAGGAGTTAGAGGGTTTTCAAAGTGGTTGTGACTCACAGGTTGAGAAACCCTGCATGTAGATTAGCCTCATAGAAATAATGTCCAGGTTGAAAATTTTCTTTTTACTGGCGGCTGTAACCTTACTTGCAATATATAAATTTAGTAACTATCTTTGGATAGATCAAATATTATTTCATATGATATAAATTACTCATTTGCTTTAAACACTAAATAGTATTTTATTTAAAATTAGAATATTAGCAACTCTTCGTTTTATGCAATTTTTATATAAAAGTATGTTGAGTCTAGGTAATTATTTTTGTTCTGTTAGCACAATGCTTAGACTTGGCACAGCAGAGGGATGAATTTCTCTACCAATTTATATCTTAGGTCTACTTAAATTTTCTTTGCTACTGTACATAGTGAATAGAAAATGTAGCTTTTTTTTAACCTGTTATATATTTCTGATTAACCTTCAAGGCAATTTTCAAATAGTAAAATTGTGAATTGCTACAGACTTATCACTTCCAATTACTTTAGTAAATTTCTTTATTTACTACATTAATTTAAAAAAATTGTATGTATGTGGGTTGATTTGCCTACATGTATGTTATAAACAGTTCTGAACCCATATGAGGGTACAGAGAATCAAACTCTGGTTCTCTGAAAGAGCAGTCAGTGCTCTTAAAACATTGAGCTATCATTCCAGCCCCTAATTTACTACATTTATTTATTTGTGTATGTATGTATGTATACATATATATGTGTGTGTGTGTGTGTGTGTGTGTGTGTGTGTGTGTGTGTATGCCTTTGTGTGGAGATAAGAGGACAACATGTAGGGTGCTCTCCTAAGCATTGAATGTAGGTTGTTAGGCTTGGTAGAAAGCCCACGTTACCTGTTGAGTCATCTCACTAACCTAGCAGTTACCTTAGTTTTGTGGTTAGAGAAACAGAAGATCAGAGAAACCAATAAAACAATACATGTTCTTTTATTTGTATTTTTAAAGGAAGAATCTATTATAGTAAATATGCATTTAATATAATTACATATCCACTAATGCATAAGTTTGATTATCATCAATAGTTAAGATAACTTTTAAAAATTTTGTTTTTGTTTTTTTGAGACAGATTTTCTCTATGTAGCCCTGGCTGTCCTGGAACTATAGACCAAGCTGGCCTTGAACTCAGAGATCCACTTGTCTCTGCCTCCCAAGTGTTGGGATTAAAGACATGTGCCACTACCAATCTACAGTTAAGATACAAATTATTAGCCTTAAGGTTTTAGATAGATACACTTATTATACAATTAAGTATTTATTATAATTTTTATGTTAAGTTGTTTTATGCAGATTAATACTCAATAATGTCCAATAACTGAATAAATCTGTTAGATGTATCAGTTGTTGCATTGTGCCAGTTTTGTTATTAGATGAGTTCTGACTAAATAATAATTTGATCTTTAAAATAATATATCTCATAAGATTGGAAAAAAATGAAGATCAACTGAAACTACTTATCATGGAGCTTCAGAAGAAATCAAGTGAACTGGGTAAGATTTAGACAATAGTGTACTTTGATAACATTAATAACTAATTATAAAAACAAAATTGTTTTTTGTTAAATTTGTTAAACTGTTAACAAGCAGCTGAAAGCACTTAACTGCTCTTGCTGAGGACCTAGATATGCTTGCCCCATATAATGTTCATAATTGTAAGACAAAATATTCCTGCATATAAAATAAAAATAAATATAAAAATTAGGGGAAAGTTATAATTAGGGGAAAATTATAATTGAATATAGGATATTTAAATTTTAAGAAAACTTAAATTTATATAGTTTATCTATGTCTAGAAACCTGAGATATTTGTATTCTCCTTACTTTAGGATTCAAAGGCCTGAATACTCCTTAGGGAAATGTCTTACATTTCAATTGAAGAAACAGCTTTTAAGGCAGGATCATACTTCATAGTTCAAACTCTTCTTGCATTCTTGATCCTTTTGCCCCAGCCTCATGAATACTAGGGTTAGAGGAATGTACCACTGCCTGGATTTGTTTATTTATTTGTTTGTTTCTTGACATTCTTGCTATATAGCTCCAACTGGCCTAGCATTCTCTATGTAGACTGGCTAGTCTTGAACTTGCGGCAGTCTTCCTGCCTCTGCCTCTTTAATGCTGAGATTACAAGTCTGTATAATCACACCTGGCTCATGTCTGGTTTTTGTAGACTTCATTTCTTAGTAGTATTTGATTATGAAATATTTTTAGGAAAACAATAATTCTTTATTATATAGTATCATTAATATTCAACAACTTACACTGACAAAGCAATTCTATAATTTTGTGAATTTATGTAGTTATAAGTCTATGTTTCGTATTTTTTAGCCTCTCGGCAAATGTAGTTAAAAGGAAAAAAAAACAAGTTTTTTCAATTTTATTTAAAAAGTATTTTTAATAGATTAATATTCCTGAATTTGTCTAGATTATTTTTATAATTTTCTACAAAGCTTACTATTAGTTTGAATGTTTGTATTATTAGTTGAATTACTTCTACAATTAAAATAATTACAAGTAATATTGACTAGTAATTTGAAATAGTTGACATTTCATAAGTAGTTCATTTCTTTGGTTCAGTCCCTTTCTAAACATTATTTTTTTTAAGCATGTATTAATTATACATGATATTTTCATACATTGTAAGTTTTGATCGTATTTATCTTTGCTTGTGCCCTTCCTGTACTTGATAATCTTTTTTTAAAAATATTTATTTATTGTGTATACAATATTCTGTTTGTGTGTATGCCTGCAGGCCAGAAGAGGGCACCAACCAGACCCCTTTACAGATGGTTGTGAGCCACCATGTGGTTGCTGGGAATTGAACTTAGGACATTTGGAAGAGCAGGCAATGCTCTTATCCTCTGAGCCATCTCTCCAGCCGCATTGATAATCTTTTTATTCTTCCCAACTAGACCTGTTTCTAGTTTCATTGTGTGTGTATGTGTGTGTGTGTGAGAGAGAGAGAGACAGAGACAGAGAGACATAGTTTCATTATAGTGTTCATAGGAGTGTAGGTGTGACAGTGTGTTTACTAGAGTATGAGTACCTTTTCAGTGTTTACACCACTGACAAAAATATCTATCCTATCCTATCAGGTTTGGTTGAAATTTTTAACCATATTTATGCTTTTCCTTTGCAATGCTTAATTTTCCACTGTAGATTAATGTTTGATTATTCCAACATTGTAATGTCCAAATAATTTTATTCATAATTTTGCTTCATAGCATAATTGTTTGATGGTGGCACATACCTTTAAATCCCCAGCACTTGAGAGGCAGGGGCAGGTGAACCTCTGTAAGTTCAGAAGCAGACTGATATACATTGTAAGTTCCAGGACAGCTAGAGCTATGTAGAGAGACCCTGTCAAAAAAGACCAAGCAACCAAGCAACCAACCAACCAAAACCCAAACATAAAGATTAAAGACAATTTTTTTATCTAGTTCAAAAATTCCTTCAGAACATGAAATTATTTTTAAATCATTACACTTACCTACTTGCCTTAGAATTGTTGAATGTTGTAGATTAAGGAATAATTTTAGTACCTAAAGTATCTTTAATGCTTATTTATAGTGATCCAGTTTACCAGTAAGTGACTATTACATTATAATTTCAATATTTCTCATAACAGAGTAGTATTATGAGAAGTTTGGATAAGGAAATTGAGAATTGAGAAACAGCACTTTGTGTTTTGTGGGAATTGAAAGTAAAAAACCATGTTCTTGAGAAATCTTGAGAGGAAGGTTAAACACATATAACCATTAGGGTAATGGTATCCAGAATGAAGGGTGTGCAAAATTATGGTAGAGTAAGAAGTAAAAATATAAGAACTATTTTTGTTATATTTATGGTGAACAATATAATACATACTTATATTACAGTTTTATATAAAATATAAATACATATTTATATTTTTACATATCTATATATTTGAGGTAAATGCCCAGATTTCTTATTGAATGTTAATACCAAAAGGAAGCAACAGAGTTAGGAAAGGCATTATTGAAGAGTTAGATGTTAATAAAATTTAAAATATAGAGAGGTTTTGGATATTTGTAGAGGATATAGATTGTTGAAAATCTATATATGGGAGTGAAAATTAAAAATTACTTAAGGACCCCACATTATTATATTTTTGGGTTAATAATATAGTCTTCAAAGCCAGAAATCTTTGCAAATAGTCTGCATTTTTCTTCTTTTTTTAGTTCATCTTTTTTTTTGGTAATCTTCATTATATATAATTTTTTATTTCTTCTTTTCTCTTTTTTTAATTATATGGAATTGAGGTAAGATAGTAGAGTCATGTTCAGATCATTGTCTTAAACTAGTCCTCAAATTAAAAAATAAGATATTTATTATGTAAAATGAAACTTTCGTGTTAAATAAGCTTTGCATGTGACAAGTTTCTCCTTTAGCGTCTATATTGACATTTCATGTTTTATTGATCTGTGGGAAGCTATTGCAAGTATTTATTTTCTAAACAGAGAAATCTGAGAAATATTCAGTAGTTCTATTATATTTCCAACAATTAAAACTCTTTAACAATGAACAAAAATAATATGTCAGATACAGTTTTTGTGACAACTGGAAATTACTAGGAGACTGTAGGAAGTTAAAAATGTAAAAAGTTTCTTTCCCCTCTAGTCTTCCACTTAAGTCCACTATGGTATACAGTACTCTAAAATCCTTGCTTATAGCAAAAGGACCAGTACAGATCATTTAAAAGGAATATGATTTCAGCTGGGCAGTGGTGGTGCATACCTTTAATCCCAGCACTCAGGAGGCAGAGGCACCAGATCTCTGTGAGTTCGAGGCCAGCATGGTCTACAGAGCAAGTTCCAGGACTGGCTTGGCTCCATAGACACAGAGAAACCCTGTCAAAAAAAAAAAAAGTAGGAAGGTTGTGCTGAAAGGTTGTTTTAAAATTAATATTGTATTCACAGAAGTAGAGGCAAGCACTGTAAAGCAATATTTTTCTGGTAGCAAGGATGTAAAAGCAACAAAATAGGAGTAGGAATTAAAGAGGAAATACAAATAATTCAAGGTCTTGGCAATTGAAGGGGGAAAAACAGTAGAGAGTGTTTCATAGTATCAAATATGACCCAGCCACACAATGAATAAGACTGAGAATGGCATCACAAAGTGCTTATTGTTGGTTTTCAAGATCATAATTTTATTAACATCATGGAGAAAGTTATTAGTTTTACATGGAGTCAAAGAAATATGTAGTTAGCAAGCAGGAATTTGAAAAATAACATGAATAATCAGTAGCTTGAGACAATAGAGAGGTTAATCAGATGTCTTTGTTTTTATATTCATATGGGGTGCTTGTGGGATAGGAGAAAATAAGGATTTCTCTGCTCGGACTTGGTATGTTTTGTAGTAGATAAAGTCACAGAACAAGTGGATATGTTGAAGTTCAAAGAACAGTGGTCAGAACTAGCTTGAGAGAAGAACAGTTCTTTTAAATTTGAAGGGAAGCCAAATAGATTCAAGGAGTGATGAGTTGAAAGTAAAGGTACACACTGGCACCAATCCAAGTTATTTTATGTAGATACATTGCTTATTTTACTTCATGAATGTTGAATTCATTTGTCTATAAATTAACCTAGAAAGATGACTGTTAGTTATTTATCCATTATTACTTTTGCATAGTTGGTTTAGACTACCTGTAACTTTCATTAACCTATCTCTTTTTTAGGGGTGTGTGTGTTTATTTAGCAGCATAGTAGTTTCTAGGTCCTATTCATTGGTTCTTGGCCCAATAATGTTGCCATATATGGATTGAATCTTCTTTTCAAATGGCATTATTCTTATTTCTTCTCTTTCCTACCTTCTAATCCAGTGATTAACACATTTTATTTTGTTTATTTTAGATGAGATGACTAAATCTAAAAATGACAAAGAAATGGAACTGGAAGAATTGAAAATAGTATTGGTGGGTATATATTCTTTCTTATTAATATTTAGCAATTACTTTAAAAGTAATTTTGAAATTGCTGGCCTAGATTTTAAAACTAAATATTTCATACCAAATTTTCTGCTAAAATATAAAAATTTTATATTTGTTTTTGAATAAAGCTTCAATCTTACCTGTATCTATTTTTATAGGTTTTTATTAACGATCATGACCAGAATGTTTGTATTATTTAAACATGTTGCTATCATACTTAAAATAAGAGCAAATATGCTTATTATTCTATGCTATAAAGACCTAGTAAACAGTGGACACACACATGTCTTATCCTAGACCTTACTGAAATTGTTTTCAATTTTTCTTTTTTCAGTTGATACTGGCTATGGGTTTGTTAAATATAGGTTTGCTACACTAAGGTATTATTTTTCTATACCTAATTTATTCAGAGATGTAATCATGAATGGATGTTTAATTTTATTAAAGGCCTTTTCTGTGTCTATTGAAATGATCATGTGATTTTTATCCTCGATTCTTTTTATGTGCTATATTACTTTTATTGATTTGCATATATTGAACCATTCTTGCATTCCTGGAATGAAACCAAGTTGATTATGGTGAATGATCTTCTTATTGTGGTATGAACTTGATTTGCCAGTATTTTATTGAAGTTTTGAACTTATCAAATATATTGTATCTTTTTGTTGTCTCCTTTTCATGTCTTGGTAATAGGATAATATTGGATTTATAAAATGTTTGTAGACTACTTAGAAGAATGTATATTTAATTGCCATCGTGTTGAAATATGAAGCGGCGAAGCTGCGTCCCCAACACCCCGGCCGCTTGGCTAGCTCATGCCCGAAATAACAACACACAAACTGTATTCATTTAAGAACTGCTTGGCCCATGAACTCTAACCCTTACAGGCTAATTCTCGCACCTGGACTAGCCCATTTCTAATGATGTGTGTAAGCACCCCAAGGTGTGCTTACCGGGAAGATTCTAGCCTCCGTCCATCATGGTGTCTCTGCTCCAGAGAGCAGAGCTGTTGAGTCTCTCCGGGAGCAGAACAGAGTCTGACCTCACTTCCTCTTCCGCCCAGAATTCTATTCTGTTTATTCCGCCCACCTATCTTTTAACCTATCAGGGTCAGCAGTTTCTTTTAGTGCTCAGCCAATGAAATCAACAGATTGATATGACACTCCCATACCATCGGGTGGAATATTCTGTAAATATATATTAACAGTTGTTGGGGGAGGCTGCTTGTGCATTTTCCAGCCTCCTGAAATAATCACACAGAAATCTGTATTAATTGCAATACTGTTTGGCCAATAGCTTAAGCAAATTTCTGGCTAATTTTTATATCTTAAATTAACCCATTTCTATTAATTTGTGTATCACCATGAGGTTGTGGCCTACTGGCAAAGTCTCAGGGGGCTTCAGTGAAGAAGGCCTCTGTCCCCAGTGGCAGCTATGTGGCTTCTCACTCACTCTTGCCTTCTTTCTCCCAACATTCATTTTAGTTTTCTGGCCTATCTTTATTCTGCTAAGCCACTGGCTGAAACAGATTTATTCATTAACCAATCAAAACAACACATAGACAGAAGGACTTCCCATACCATTTTCCCTTTTCTGTTTAAATAAAAAGGAAGGTTTTAACTTTAACATAGTAAAATTATATATAACAAAACAGGTATCAAGCAAGAATTACAGTTACAATATTTATATCTACTTTATCTTTTATTATAGCTAAGGAAAACTATATTTTTCAACTGCATCAAAGACTGCAAAAGGAAATATTACCTAAGTAAACAGGAAGTGCATTATAAGCAACTTCCAAAACTCTAGAATTGACAAAGACATCTCACTGCCTGGACAGTCACCCAAAGTTCTCCTATAACATTGGGGCATTTATTTTCAGCCTACAGGCCCATAGTATCTGGCAGACTTTTCCATGAAGCAGGAAATTTCAAAGATAGTTCTGTCTATATTGACAGTTTGTCAGTCGCAGTCTTCTGTGTCCTGCAGGATGTCTAGCAGACTCTTTCATGAAGCAGGAACCCTTAAGGATCGTCTCATCTTCTTTAGACAAATTCAGTAGTCATTTTCCTGTGTGTCCTGAATGTCCAGTTTATTCAGCATAACATCAAACAGTCCAGGCAAGAGCAGTTTCTTGCCCAAATGGCTAACAAATTCCATAAGGAGCTTTTTCAATGCCCATCATCCTCTTGAAGTAGATTGGTGCTGCCAGAAACAGATATGTCTCATTGTCATATAAAGTCTTAAGCTTTTAAAACATTTTAAGTGCCATATGCTGCTACCAAAAAGCCATGCTTAACTCTGTTTTATTTTGTGTGTGTGTGTGTGTGTGTGTGTGTGTGTGTGTGTGTGTGTTGTGTGTGTCAATGTCTAGGATTCCTTTCCAAGCCTTTTCAGGTTTTACGTGGATTACTCAGCCCCATGTTGGGTGTCAGTTTGTTGTGGGAGACCACGTGTTCGTTCCCAGCTTCTCAGACCTCGAAATAGTCCCATAGAAATCTGTATTAATTACAGTACTGTTTGGCCAATAGCTGAAGTGTATTTCTGTCTAGTTTTTATATCTTAAATTAAGCCATTTCTACTAATCTGTGTATCACCATGAGGTAGTGGCCTACTGGCAAAGTCTCAGCAGGCTCCAGCAAAAGTGTCCATCCCCAGTGTCAGCTACATGGCTTCTCACTCATTTCGCCTTTTTTCTCCCAGCATTTAGTTTAGTTTTCCTGCCTAGCCTTCTATTCTGCTAAGCCACTGGCTGAAACAGGTTTATTCATTAACCAATAAAAGCAACACATAGAAGGACTTTCCATACCAAACATTTGATCTTTAATGTAGTTAATTATGAAGTTCTGTTTCTTTTTTTGGTCTGGATAATATTTTTACTCATGTAATTGAGTGTTACATTCACTTATTATTACTTTATTTTGGCCTGTCTGTCCATTTGTGTGTAGTATATTTTGTCTTATGAAATTGGGCACACCAACGTTTGCTGCATACTAATTTCTAATCACTATATCTTGTTCGATTGTCACCTTTATTTGTAGTGATTTTGTTCTTCTGATTTGTTTTGGCTTGATGTCTGCTTTTTCAGATACTAGTATAGTTTCTCTCAGCTTGTTTTCAGTTTCTACTTGCTTACTATGTCAACTTATGCTTTTTCACATTTACCTTTTCCAGTTAAGTATGCTTCTTGCAGAGAACAATTAGAAATTATTTTTTGATTCAATTTTTAAGTCCACGTTTTTTCCACAAAATGGGTATAAACAGAAGACATTTTGATAGCAAAAAAATAGTAACTTCCCTACTTGGGCCAATGATATCCTTAGTCATGGGCTTTTCTTTATATTTATTTTATTTTGGTTTGTTGAGACATGGTTTTTCTGTATAGCTTTGGTGTCTGTACTGGAATTAGCTCTTGTAGACCAGGCTGGCCTTGAATTCACAGAGATCCACCTGCCTCTGCCTCCCGAATAGTGGGATTAAAGGCATGTGCCACCACTGCCCAATTTATTCATGGGTTTTTCATGAGGTTTACTTATCAGGCATGAAATCCTTCCTTGGAGCAGGCCTCCTACTCAATCAGAAAGTGGTTGGTTATCCCCATAACAGTTGTGCCACACTATTGTACCTGTAGACACATCTTGGTAGGCAAGTCAGTATTTTAGTAAACAGGATTCAACACTGGGAGAGACTATTAATCTCTTTTTGAACACGGGAACTGTTTAACTAACACATGAATGAGCAGTCTTTTCCTATAAATTAATTAATTAATTAATTAATTATTAAGCTTCTCTATGTAACAGCCCTGGCTCTCCTGGAACTCACTTTGTAGACCAGGCTGGACTTAATCTACCTACCTCTGTCTCTCAAGTGCTGGGATTAAAGGCATGTGCCACCACGCCCATCTTTGTTTTCTCTGCCTAAGTATATTTTTTACCAAGGAAATATACTATAGTTCCTTCTATTGGGAAGTTCAGTAATTTTCAATATGTTTATACTTTAACAGTCATGCTTTTTTCCTCCTGTTTTTAAACAGGAAGAAGACCAAAAACTTTTAGATGAAAAGAAACAAGTTGAGAAGCTTGCTGAAGAATTACAAGGGAAAGTACAAGAACTAACTCTCCTTTTGCAAACCAGAGAGGTTTGTTAGGATATGTTTGTTTCCAATGTTTTGTTAAGAGAATGTAGATTTATAAAGTAGATTATGACATAGCTATTTGCTTTGTAAAGGATTTCTTCACAAATTTCTTTTTAAAAGTATGTGTTCTTGTTATATTTAACATGCTAATGACAGTTTTAAAATAGGGAACCTTTATATTGTAAAGTGAGAGAAAAAAGGTCAATACTTAAGAATCCATTTTATGTATGTTATGGTTTATGATAATTCTGTTTCTTGATGTCTTTAGTATTTCTTGATACATTTAATTTTTAGCTCTTATTAAATGCTGGATTCTTACAGTATTTTTATAATGCTTATATTTAAACTTATCTTTAAATTTAAAGTTTATTTGTAGACCTGTAAAAGAATTGGAACTTTTTATAATAGTAAGAACACCTTAGTCTATAAGACACTTCCTGACTTCACTACTATGTTTCCCTTACTAATATAAAATTTTAGGCTAGGTGTAGTGTCACATTCCTTTATTCCTAGTGTTCCATAGGTAGAGGCAGGCAGATCTCTGTGAATTTGAGACTAACTAGCCTGGTAAGAACAGAGTTCCAGGCTAGCCAAGGATATATGGTGAGAGTCTTCTCAGAAAAATAAACAAACAGACAAATTAACAATAAGCAAACTAATAAAATTTTAAATGGAATTAATTACTTAGTAGATTAAAGTAAAATTTTCTGTCTGAGCTTTAGGCTATCACAGTAGAGTTTACTTGTATTGAATTTGTTATTGCTAATTTTAAAAACTAAAATGATTATCATATTATATACTTAAATTTAAAATATTTAGCTGGACATGGTATTTGTATCTATCTATAACCCTAGTACTTTGGCAGAAGAGGTAGGAGAACCAAGAATTCAAGGTCTCTGGGTAGTGGCGTACACATTTAATCCCAGCACACTGGTGGCAGAGACAGGTGGATCTCTCTGATTTGGAGGCCAGCCTGGTCTACAAAGTGAGTTTCAGGACAGCTAGGGCTATACAGAGAAACCCCATCTCAAAACAAAATCAAACAAAAATTTAAGGTCAACCTCAATTATAGATTGAGTTATTTATTTAGAGACAGTGTCTTTCTTACTTTATATCTCTGGCTTTTCTGGAACTCACTACGTAGACCAGGTCTCTGCCTCTAAGTGCTGGGATTGTGTCACCATGCCCAGCCTAATTGTATCTTTTATATGGAAAAAATCTGGTAGAACATTTGTCATAAATATATATATATTTATTTTGCAGAAAGAGGTCCATGATTTGGAAGTAGAATTAACTGTCACTAAAACAAGTGATCAGTATTATTCAAAACAGGTTGAAGAACTAAAAACTAAGCTGGAAGAAGAGAAGTATGTTTTTCACTTATCTATGTACAGTTTAATTCCTAAACTTCATGATAAAAATAGTTTCCTATTTATATCAATGGATTTGAAATTGAGTTTTATTCCTAAAGATAAAAATGAAAGCCAGGCATGGCAGTGCACAAATGTAATTTTAGCACTCTGGAAACTAAAGCAAGAAAATTATGAATTCGAGGTCTGGGCTTTGTCGTGAGATCTTGTGTCAGAAAAGAAATGGTTTACTTATTTTATTGCTAAGAAAGTTTGTATCATTATATAAAAGACTAATAACAAAGTTAAATCACTTTATATCAGCATTTAGTTATCTCTTGGTATTTATAAGCTTTGGTTTCATAAACTCTGAAGATACACAAATCTGAAGCTAGTCAAGTCCTATATGCAATCAGCAGAATATTTGCATATAAACTAAGTATAACCTCTTACGGGGGAATTTTTAACTCTTCTCTATACTACTTGCAGTACTGAATATAATGCTAATGCTATGTAAATGTTTGTTTTACTATGTTCAGAAAATAATGGCAAGGGAACTCACCAAGGCCAGCTGGCCTGGGTCTGAAAAAGCCTGGGTTAAAACCGGTCTCGCTGAACATAGCGGACAATGAGGACTACTGAGACCTCAAGAACAATGGCAATGGGTTTTTGATCCTACTGCACGTATTGGTTTTGTGGGAGCCTATGCAGTTTGGATGCTCACCTTACTAGACCTGGATGGAGGTGGGTGGTCCTTGGACTTCCCACAGGGCAGGGAACCCTGATTGCTCTTTGGGCTGCAGAGGGAGGGGGACTTGATTGGGGGAGGGGGAGGGAAAGGGGAGGCGGCAGTGGGGAAGAGACAGAAATCTTTAATAAATAAAAAAAAAGAAAATAATGGCAAGGAAGTAGTTTGTATGTTCAATCCAGACATTTTCCTGAATAGTTTCAATTTTGAGTTGGATAAGTCAATTAATGTGGAATTTCTAGATACATAGGATCCGACATTAATTTGGGGGAGGTATTTGTCATATAAAGGAAATTATTTGTGGTTCTTTTTTATTTTGATAAATTGTTTTCATAAGTTCATGTTGATAAAATTCAATATATAAATTTATCTCTAATATTGTCTAAATAAAGTATCTAATGGAGTGATTTCAGCAAATTTAATTTGTTAATAATTATCACCAAGAAAGAAGTCAATTCAAATGCCTGTTGGTGGTAAACACTATTTTTCCTTTTTGATTGCTTCTCAGGTATAGATGAAAATGGTAAGTAAAGTGTTAGGTGTGATGCCTCATGCATAGAATTCTAACCCTTGGGAAGCTGAAGAAGGAGGATTGTTGTAAGTTTGAGACCAGCCTAGATTATATTATAATTCCCAAGCCAGCATACAGCCTAGACCTTTACTTGTAGTCCCGTTCCCTTTTTCTGATATTCTTCTAACAGTGTGTTTTTTTTTTTCAGGAGATCTAGGTAATATTCATTTTATTAAAAATCCCCTTAAGAATTGAGTGGTTATTTATATTTTAGTATTAATTTATGTTTTCCTTAGTATATTTGCTCTTTAATCTCTCATTACTTAGGTAAAAACTATTTTCTTTTCTGAACTTCCAATAATATTAAATAAGAGGAAGTGGTAGATACTCTCAAAATCATATGGTGGTACCAGACACTACACTGCATTTATTTAAAATTAATACTGACTTCAGCCAATAGCAGTAATAATTTCTCTTTCAAACTTTCAAATGGAAAATTTGTAAGGATAATTGCATTTTAGTTACAAATAGTTCATGCTTCAAGAACTGTTCTAATCAAAATTTCAGAAGTTTGAAATAGACTATTGGAAGTAAAACAATTATGTGAAGAAAATGATGTGTCCTTTATATTTCAGAAAAATGTATGTAGGGAATATACAAGGAAATATAATGTGTGACATAATGAAATGTTAATACAGAAACAATTTAAATATATTTGAATAAACAAATTAAAGAAGTAGAATAAGACTGTAATCTGGCTTCAAGACTTAATGGCCAGTATTATGTATAGCCTGCCTTTTTCTTTCCCTTAAGATTATTTTGAATCAAATCTTATATATCATCAAATTTCATATTTGTTTCTGTATATTTTTTTAAAAATAGACTTAAGAATGCTGAATTAACTGAAAGCTGTGATAAACTTTCCCTTGAGAACATAAAATTGGCACAAGAAGCCAGTGATATGGCCCTAGAACTCAAGAAAAATCAAGAAGATATCACTGTGAGTTGACAAAGTTATCAGTAATTTTGCTTTCTTACCTTCAAAATTAGATAGACTTTAAAATAGATGATCTTTGAATACCCTTTTAGCTTAAAAAGTTGGATTATCTTAGAGATGGTATTTTTTGGAGGAAAAGCTGCATACTATTATTTGATATGGTGATAATGTACAACAGAAAATAGAGTCTCCCAATATATGACTACCAGTATATGAAATTAATCTAATTTTAAGCCTTAATACTTTTGTATTTAGTAACATTCTATTTAGTCATAGATTTCTATGGAAGATGTAATATTGAATCATTTTTATTCAAGAACATATGAATTAATATAAATAGTAAGTATTCAAATATTTTAACTAAAATAGTATGCCATATATATTGGCATTGGGATAAAGTGTTGTTGGAGTTCACAAGTTCACTTGTGCCTTTATGGAAGAGAAGCCAGCAGAGAATAAGATTAATTTTGTCCTTGAAAGATGAATTATGAGTTTAGTAGGTAATGATTAATTAAACATTATAAATAAAGGATGCAAACCTACAAGTAACTCTGGGAAATCAAAATTATTTTACTAGCTGCTATATATTATTAGAGTTGTTATTAATACAAGTCCATAAAACAGAACTGTACAAATTAAATAGCTTACTGTATTAATTTGCTTTCTATTTCTGTGATAAAACTTTATGACTTAAAAGCAGCTTGGGGTGGGGGTAAGGAGCTTTGTTAGGCTTACATATCTCAAGCATAGTCCATCATGAAGTGAAGTGTGGGCAGGAACCTTGAGGCAAAAACTAAAAAGCAGAGGCCATGGAGGAGAGCTGATTATTGGCTTTTTCCTTGGGGCTTGTACTGCCTGCTTTATTTATTTATTTTTTTCTTTTATAGAACCTAGGACTACCTGCCTAGGGGTGGCTCCATCAGGCTGAGCCCTCCCATATCAGTCATCAGTAAAGAAAATGCCTCACAGAGTTCCCTAAAGGTCAATGTTATACAGGCAGTTTTTTGAGTTTCCTTCTTCCCAGATACTCTTAATTTGTGTCAAGTTGACAGAAAACAAACAAACAAAAAAACCCCAACCAACCAAACAAACAAAAAAACCAGCAAAACCCTCCCCCAAACCTGGCATATGGCATACTCGTGTAAGTTTTAAATATTAATTTCACTTACATTTTTGTTGAAGCAAAATGATTAAACATTATTTATTATCTTCTTAGAATAGCAAAAAGCAAGAAGAACGGATGCTGAAACAAATAGAAAATTTGGAAGAAAAAGAAACACATTTAAGGCAAGAGTAATGAGTTTGTCTTTGTCTCAAGGATTTTAGAATTTCTTTTCTATTGTTAAATATTGTATAAAGTGAGAATATTAGGTATAGGTTAAGGTTTTAAAATCTTGTCTAAAAATGAAATTATAATAATTTTATACTTAAGTAATTAAAAAATAAAACTTTTATATATAGTATTTAAGCAGTAAAATTATACAAAGATTGAAGTATCATAATCCTATTTCATTAAAGTCTAAAAATTATGCTAACTGTATCTAGAAAATTTAGGATAAAAAATTTTAAATATTTTCAAAAGTATCAACTATTATATAATATTAGAATATTTGTGTTCACTGTTTTAAGAATATAAGTGTTAATCATAATGTAATTTTATATTATTTAAATGAAAAATTTTCCATTAATATTTTTTTAAAATATTTATTTATTTATTATGTATACAACAGTCTGCAGGCCAGAAGTGGGCACCAGGCCCCATTACAGATGGTTGTGAGCCACCATGTGGTTGCTGGGAATTGAACTCAGGACCTTTGGAAGAGCAGGCAATGCTCTTAACCACTGAGCCATCTCTCCAGCCCCCTCCATTAATATTTTAAGCATTGTTTCTTGATATTTTTCACAATAATTATTTGTATTTGTAACTTTATTTTTAGATATTTACTTTTTCCAGGTTTTTGCTATTATAGATAATACTGAAGTAAATAAGGAGCACATGTCTTTAATTTATTAATATGATCTTAGAACTAATGATTCCAGTGACTTGGTAATTTCCTGGTTCCTAGTAGTTTTTATTAATTGTAAGTTGTAAAATACAACCAAGATCATGTTGAAAGCTCTGGTTCTAAATGTTTCAATTGTTGCTTGGTATCATCACTAATTGAGCAATAATTTAAAATTTAAGCCACTTTTTATGATTTGCAGTTACCTTTTGTATAAGCTTTAGAGTTTTTCAAAACTTGCCTGTTGGAATTTTTGTTGTAAAATTATCTAGAAATAGCTATACTCTTTAATCTTTTAAGGGCTTTATTACTGTTGACTTAAGTGATGGAGGAGGGTCATCTGTCTATGTGTTACTTTCACTGGTTAATAAAGAAATTGCCTTGGCCCTTTGATAGGACAGAAAATTAGATAGGCACAGTAAACATAACAGAATTCTGGGAAGAAGTGAAGTGAGGCAGATGCTGTAGCTCTCCTCTCCAAGATGGACGCAGGTTAAGATCCTTCCCAGTAAGCCACCACTTCGTGGTGCTACACAGATAATTAGAAATGGGTTAATCAAGATGTGAAAATTAGCCAGTAAGAGGCTAGAGATAATGGGCCAAGCAGTGTTTAAAAGAATACAGTTTTCATGTAATTATTTTGGGTAAAGCTAGCCGTGCGGGAGCTGGGTGGTGGGAAACGGCCTGCAGCTCCTTTCTACACTTAAGCACCAATGTAGCAATCCTTTATCCATTTTATTTATGACATTTTTATAACTTGTTTTCTTTTAATTTGTGGCAGTTATTTTAATTTAAGTTTTAAAAATTTCTATTAGTTTTGTTTTTTGCTTTGTGTATTTATACCATTGCTTTTATATTTAAAATACTTTTGCCTCCCTGAATTCAAATGCTAGTCTTTTTTTAAAACCTATTATAGTGATGCTTAGCTTTTCTATTTCCTTTAAAAATATAAAAAATTTCAGAAAGCAAAGAAAAAAGTTAAAAAAAAGAAAAAGAAAAAAATCAATCCTTCAGATTACTTGCAATCACATCTATGAATTTATGACTGGGCATTTTTATTTTTTACTTTTGATATGGCATTTTAAAATATATTTTTATTAGTTCTTTGAAATTTTTGTATATTTTGATCATATTCACCTCCTTCCTTCTATTCCTAGATCCATCCCCATCTTCTTACCTACTAAACTTCATGTCCTTTTTTTTTTCTTTTAAATTCATTTAGTCCAATCTGTGATGACAAAAATATTCATGTGGCTAATTTCTGGAGTGTGGCAATCTTTCAGGGGTCATTATAGCCTTAAAGAAAATCTGCTGTCCTTCTCACAGCAGCTATCAGTTAACAGTAGTTCCTAAACTAGGGATGGGGCTTTGTGTCCACCTCTCCTGTCCATGCTGGAATTTTGTTCAGCTTAAGCTTGCATAGGTCTCATGCATGTTATCAGAACCACTCGGAGTTCATATATGCAACTGCCTTGTTGTGTCTGGAAAACACTGTTTCCCTAATAGTCATCCATCTTCTCTGGCTCTTACTATCTTTCTATTCCTTCCACAATGATTGTTGAGCTTTGGGAGAAGGTGTGTGATACAGATATTTCATTTAGAACTGAGCACTCAGCAGCCTCTTATTCTCTACATGTTAATGAGTTATGGGGGTCTCTGTGTTAACTGCCCTCTACTACAAAGAGAGCTTCACTTAACTGTGGGTCTAGCAATAAGTAGTAGGAGTCAGTTTAATACTCTATTTAGCAGAGTAATAGTAGAACATAATCTGGGTGCTCATTAAATGATGAATGAATAATGAAAATATGATATGTTTATATAATAAAATATTATTCAGTTTAAGAAAGAGGAAACTATGAAATTCATAGGTAAATGAATGGAACTGTAAACACTCATCTTGCGTGAGGTAAACCATACCCAGGAAGATAAATATAACATGCTCTCTTACATATGTGGCTTGTAGTTTTGAATCTTTAAATATGTGTGTTTCATTTTGAATATTCATAGTAATCAGGAAACTAATAAAAGGCCATGGATTAGGGGGATTTTCTGGGGCCGGGAGATAGAATGAAGTGATAAAGGGGAATAAAGGGACAGAAAGGATTAAGTAGGTTAAGGATGAGAGGACAGGGAAGAGGAGGGAGCAATAGGAAGGGTAACTAATATTAAAGACCTTTAATAACGTCATATGGAAACCTTTTACGATAGAAGCTTCCTAAATTACATACACATCTAAAAAGAGTTTAAATAAAATTACCACATAGTGGAGAGGACAATGCCATACTAGACACTACAGGCTAGGAAATAAAAAGCTACTGCCAAGAAGCTATTGGTCAGTGGGATTCCATAGGCTCCACCTCCCAACATAGACTATTTTCTTTGCCTTTAGTTATTCTCCAGAAGTTGGTGGTAAGACATTATTTTCTGAGGACAGCACATACTTGAGTCATAGAACATGGAGAAATCAAGCTGATAGACCTGGAAGCTTTATCCCTATTGGCTAGATTTCATAGTGCTAGAAAATGCTATGCACACTACAGGAGGATAAAAGACATCAACAGTCTTACACATCTGTGAACTCTGTGAGCTATGGTAATGACAAGTCTGGCATTATATACCATTATATAGTATAATAGGGGCATGAATGTTATAGGAGTAACCAAAGGATTTCTCCACAAGATAGAACCCATATGTGGCACCATTACCAAGGCCAAGAATCCATAGCTAGATAGTTCATAGGTCTTAGGGGAAGGGCCTGTGTAAATCAGGCTGGACTTGAACTTTCTTGTGATCTTTCTTGTCTCTACCTCCTTGTTGCTGGGAATGTAACTCCATACCTGACTTGATATGCAGTTTTATTTTTTAAATCTTTGTGTGTGTGTGTATTTTATATGTGTATTTTAAGTTTTCTTTTTAAATCATTGGTAACTTGAATGATTTCCAAATATTGTGTGTACATTGAAATTTTGGGTTTCTTATGTTTGGTTAAAGAATGTGCTTTTGAAAACTTCTATTTTAAATCTTTACAATTAAAAATTTGAAATCTTTGGACCGAATACAGCTCTTCATATACTTGTTAGATTGTATGAGGTATTGTGAGTCGTGTTGAATATAGTGATTGATAGTCAGTGCTTAATAATTATTAGCTGTTTACTATTTTCAAGATTTAGAAAAATCATTCTTTGCCATACTCATAATGATTGATTTTGCCTTTTTTTTTTTAATCATTCTTCTTCAGAGCAGCTGTTACCTACAGATATCTATGACTAAACCACTATACTTTTTTGGTTAAAATATGAAAACAAATTTTAAAGAGAAGCTGTTTAATGTTTTACAATTTTTTTAAAGTTTAAATTAATTCGCTTAGTTTTTGAGACAAGGTCTTAATTGTATAGCCCAGGATGGCACTTAGCTGATATTCCTGTCTTAGACTCTCAAATGCTGGGATTACAGGTATTTGCTACCACACCTACATCAAGAGCCTCTGTTAGTGCCTATGTATGTATACTATATGAGTGTGTGGAGGCCAGAGGACAGCCTCAGATGATATTCTACAACTACTGTATGTATCTTTTTCCCTTTAAAAAAGGACATGGTATCTCACTAGGCTGTATCTCACCAAGTAGGTTAGGCTGTCGAACAAGCAATGCTCAGGGTTCTGCCTGTCTCTCCCTCCATGGGACTGGGATTACAAGCATGCCTCAACAACCCCTGCTCTTTAATGTAGTTTCTGGGGATCAAACTCAGGTTTTTTTGCTTGCAAGGGAAGCACCTTATCTGTTGAGTTTTCTCTAGCTCAAGAGACTGTTTTAAAAATAACTTTCAAATTATCTGAGTAATATAGTCTGAATACCTACTTATAATATAGGCTAGGAGGACTTTTAAGTGTAAATTATCTATGAAAAGTGAACATACTGATCATAATTTATACTCATTTAAAGAATAAAGCTGGGGGGGCTTGAGAGATGGCTCAGAGGTTAAGAGCACTGACTGCTCTTCCAGAGGTCCCGAGTTCAATTCCTAGCAACCACATGGTGGCTCACAGCCATCTGTAATAAGATCTGGTGCCCTCTTCTGGCTAGCAAGCATACAGACAAAACACTGTATACAAATAAATAAATAAAAAAAAAGAAATAAAGCTGGCAAGAAAACTTGCTGTTAAACCTGATATTTTGCATTCAATCCCTGGAATCCACATGGTAGAAGGAAAAAAAAATGACCCTTAGAAGTTGTCTTCTGACCTTCATACATGTATTACTGAAAACACAATCCTTTTTCTCTGTCTTTTTCTCTAAATAAGTAAACAAACAAATAAATACATGTGAAAAATTTTAAGAAAATTTTTTTTCCTGGATTCAGTTTTTGAAAGGTCAGATCACAGATTATATTGCCAATACAAAGGGAAACTACAATTAGAAAAGTATCTTCAAGTACATGCTGAGACAACCACCAATATTTTCATATGTAATATACAATATTTTAATAAAAACATTTTTAAAAGAGTAACACATGATTATAATACAAAATTTAAAGGAACAAAGGAGCACATTGGGGAAGGATGATATCTTTTGCCTTTGAGAGAGTCTCTGAGCATGAACAATAATATATGTATATATAGATATCATTAAAATAAATTGTATTTATGTTTTTAAATTTTATTTGTATAACATTTTATATGTTAGAATGATGAAAAAAATATTTGTTTTTTAAAGTAAGAAAATGATGCATATAATTTAAGGATAAATATGTACAGTAACTTAAATGTGGGAATAGAAATGTGCTTGTTAATATAATAGCCATGCATGAAAAGTTAGTAGTCAAAATGAGAACTCAAACCTAAAAAAATTAATGAGCAATAATTAAAAAAATCTTTGGAGATGAAAATATGGTTTGGATTATGAAGCTATTCTTGTATTTCCTTTTAGGGATGAACTGGAATCAGTAAAAAAAAAGTTTATACAGCAAGAAGATGAAGTTAAATGTAAATTGGACAAGAGTGAAGAGAATGTATGTATTTAACAATAGATTGGATTCAAAAATTTAAATCATAAAAAACAATACAGATAATAAAGTGACACGCATAGTATAAATAGTGATCTAGATATTTAGCCATTAACATTTAAAATATGTGTTAAGGTAGGCTAAAGAGATGACATAGCCATTAAAACCATTTGCTGTCTTGCCAAAAACCACCAATTTCAGTTCTTAGTACTCACATAACTGTCTGAAACTCCAGTTTTATGATATTATCTGATACCATCTTCTGGATTCTTTGGATACTGAACTCATGTGGTACATGCAAGCAAAACACATAAAATCTTAAATTATGTGGTTTAAGTTGGGTGGTTTTGAGTATGATACATATTTGTAAGAAATAGTCATATAATTCTAAAGATAATTGAAAAAGGTTCATTTAAGTTTTTTTTCTATTACTTTATGTGAATGTCTTTGCACCCTGTAATGTTTGGTGCCTATGGAGGCCAGAAATCCACTGGAACTGAACAGATGGTTGTGAGATACCAGTAGGTGCTGAGAAATGAACCTGGGTCCTCTGGAAGAGCAACCAGGACTCTTAACTATTAAGGCACCTCGCTAGTCCCAAATGTTCAGTATTTAATTTTGACTTGTATTTCTAGGCTAAATTAAAGGCTCATGGTGTGATAATATGTAATGTACTGAAAAGATTGTACAACAAATGTCACAGAACTATGAAAGTACAAAGTATGTCATGAGTAGACAGTATATAGTGTGTATTGAGTGGATGAAAATTGTGCCAAAGTATAAATACCATGCATGATTATGAAGGCTCCTTCAGTCATTCAGCAAATGTTATCTAACCACCAAATGTGTCCCAGGTATTGTTCTAGATACTGATTTTAGATGTCATTTACTTTGGTGGGTGGAAGCGGTCTAAAGTTTTATTAGGGCAGTAAAATGTTTTACTGATAATAAAATACTTGAGGTTTGAATGAGGAGAGATGGAAGACACTAGAATCATTTGGGAGGTTACTAAAAAGTGTCTTCAGAGCACTAAAAAACAGAGAAGACTCTGGTCTTGAACAGCTTATTTACTTATTTATAAGCTAGTCATTGTGGCTAGTGGATAATCTCAACAGAATCACTATGAAATTTACAATAAAGGAGTCCCTTGAAGTAAGAGCACTAGCAAGATTGTAATGCTGGTCCTCTATATAGATTCTACTACTTGAGCACACAGAATAGCATTTAATCAAAACTTAGTTAAGTCTGGGCATGCTTTCTAGAAGAAGAAACATTGAGTAGGCTTAAGTTAACAGAAATTAGTAGAAGTTTAGCTTGCAGAAGAAGAATATTCAAAATTTAAAAAATATTAGGAGAAACCCCTGGAAGTATGTAACCCTGATAAATAAAAGCAATTAAAATTTATTATTGCTGAAAGATGGAGGTTCAGGTAGAGAGAATGGATAAAGATGAAGATGGGTAGAGAGAACAGTGGAGAAATAGAGGTAAGAAATATGATATTTAAAGCCTCAGTAATTTGTGTTTAGGAATTCAAGTATAATGAAGAGTTTTGGCCTGAGAATTGTTTACCTTTTAGAAATTACATAAAGACTGTTAGAATAGTTTAAAGACAAGCTGATATTTTGGAGGGCTTAAGATGAAGCAGACATTCGAGGTTCTATGTGTTATTTTACTTCACTGAAATTTAAGTATGGGGACTGGGGAGATGGTTCAATTGTTAAAGTGCTAACCATGCAAATATGAGGACTTGAGTTCAGATTTCTAGCACCCGCATAAAAGCTGAGCATAGTGACACAAAGTCAAATCCAGCCCTGGGAAGGTGGAGACAGGCGCATCTCTCGAGCTCATTTGGTTAGCCAACCTAATCAAATTGAATGGCTTCAAGTGCAATGAATGATCCTATCTCCCATGTATATACACACAAACAAGTACATAATATACAGAGTGAGAGAGAGACATAGACATACACATATGAACATAAAGAATTTAAAGTATGATCTATTTTACTAGTATAGAAAATATTAGTGATAAAGAGACTGGAGAGAGCCGGGCGGTGGTGGTGCACGCCTTTAATCCCAGCACTCGGGAGGCAGAGGGGATCTCTATGAGTTCGAGACCAGCCTGGTCTACAAGAGCTAGTGCCAGGACAGGAACCAAAACCATAGAGAAACTCTGTCTCGAAAAACAAAACAAAACAAAAAAAAGAGACTGGAGAGATGGCTCAGCATTTAATAACAAGTAATGCTTTTACAGAGGGTCCTAGTTCTACATCACCCATATTGGGAAGCTCACAGTTGCTTATAACTAGGTCCTTGGGATTTGATATTGTTCTCTGAACTTCATGGGTACCCCCCATACACATAATTTAAAGTAATAGAAAAAAATCTTTTTAAAAAGGAAATATAAGTAGGCATGAAATTGAGGATAGCCTGGTTTACAGAGCAATTTCCAGGACAGTCAGGGCTACATAGAGAAATGTTGTCTCAAAAAATTAATGTATATATAAAATTTATGCATATATATGATAAAATATTAAATTAAGGCAGTTAACATATTACACAAAGGTATATTTTTTAAAGGAGTGAATAAACTGGATGAGCTGATAAGTATTTTTATAAATATATAAAACTATAATTTTACTTCTAAAGTACACAAGAAAATGAAATTCTATTAACAGTTTAAATGATTTCAAATCAAATTTTTTTTAGGCTCGAAGCATTGAATGTGAAGTTTTAAAGAAAGAAAAGCAAATGAAGATACTAGAAAATAAGGTATTATCAAATTAGAAAAAAATGTTTGGGAATAAGAACCTTGTGAAAATATATGACTAGATTTTGAAGGACCAGCTTTTCTCTTATATTCCTGTAGAAGACTTTGAGGAAGAATACAATGTTTTTACTGGTATTTCTTTGAAGAGACTCTGGATTCACCAATGTTAAATAGGCCCTTTTAGAGACCAAAATTTTGTTAAACTCCCTACTTTCACTTTTTCTTAAATTCATGCTCATAAATAGCTATATTTATTGCGAATTGCCTCAAAATGACAAGAAAAATATCCAACAACATTTGGTGCTAATGAAGGAAAATGATTTTTTTTCTTGTGAGAATATTTACTCTAATGGGAATTAGAACAATTTATATATCTGGTAGTTTAGAAATCTCTTAGAAATCTGTGCCTCTTTTATGGTACTTAGGATGTTTTTTGGACTAATACATTTTAATTCAGTTCTGCATGTACTCAGATGAAATAACCCCACTAAGTAATATATTAAAAAGTGACTTAGTTGGTGTTTCAGTAAGAAGAAATGGAGTTCTGTCAGGAGTTAGAATATCATATTAATATTTCTTTATCATATTTAATAACATTAGAATCTCAGAAATGAGAATGAGAGAATAACAAGTAATGAAGACCGATCATATTTATATTTTTACATTAACAGAATGACTTTTAATGAGCCTTATATTATATCATGCAGTATGTTATTAGTTTGAAATTGCTTATTTTGATCAGAATATTGAATAAAATTATGTAATTTTAAAAATAATTTTACAGTGTAACAATTTAAGGAAACAAGTTGAAAATAAAAGCAAGTATATTGAAGAGCTTCATCAGGAGGTAGGTTTTCTTTTTTTTTTTAAAGATTTTATTTATTTATTAAGCATACAATGTACTGCTGGCAAAGAAGGCACCAGGTCTCATTACAGATGTTTGTGAGCCACCATGTGGTTGCTGGGAATTGAAATCGGGACCTCTGGAAGAGCAGCCAGTGCTCTTACCCTCTGAGCCAACTTTCCAGCCCCAGGTTTTCTTAATAATATAAATTTTCTTAAAATTATCCCAGTATTTGCACTATAGTTTTAGAGAGCAATGCTTTCATTTCATTTCATTTCATTTCATTGTAAGTCTTAATCACCGTAATACTAACCATAATTAATTTTCCATAGAATAAGACCTTGAAAAAAAAGAGTTCAACAGATAACAAACAGCTCAATGCATATGAGATAAAGGTATGTGACATTTTAATTTTTGTTTTCTTAAATACATGAAGGTTTAGAAATACTATATTATCTTTTTATAATTTAATGCTTACCTTCAGATGCTGTTAAATTTTTGGGTTGAAGAGACGGGTAATTTTTATAGGAGTGATAGAATGTTTATTGTGATTTAGCTGGGTCAGAATTATGTGAACCACTTAAAAATACATTTGTGCATGCTCTATGTATATATACACGTGTGTTTTATTTTCTTTACTCATATATTATACAGCAATAATCTATTATTTTTTTAAAAATTTTTTTCCTATAATTCATTTTGATCATGTTTATTCTTTCATTCTTTCTAGATCTTACCTACTTTTCTACTGACCCAACTTTATGTTCTTTTTCTCTCTCTCTTTAAAAAAGCAAACAGGAAAAGAAACACACAAACTCTACAAAACTGAAATCAAAATATATAAGCAGAAGATCAATAAGACAAAAAATGCCCAAACAATGCAGAATGTCATAAAAAGCTTACAAAAACCTGATTAATTTAGTATTGACTAACTACTCCTGGGCATGGGGCCTGACCTAGTGGATGTTAATAAACCCAGTGATACTCCATTGGAGAAAACTTAATTTTTTTTCTTCGTCAGTGAGTATCATTTGAGGATAATTTCTTGGTCGGGGTGAAACATGTGTCCACTTCTCCCTCTCAGTTCTGGGACCCTGTCTGGCTTGAACCTTTGTAGGCCTTGTGTGACCATTCCACAATCTTTGTGAGTTCATATTTTCATTATTCCTGTTGTGTCTGGAAGACTCTTTCCTTCATCGATCACTTCTGATTCTTAGAATCTTTCTGCCTCAGAGATCCCTGAGTCTTGTTGCGGAGGACTTTGATAAAGAAATCTCATTCAAGACTGAGTGCTCCAGAAACTCTCATTCTGCATATTTACAGTTGTGGGTCTCTGTGTTAGTTTTCTTTTGTTTTTTTTTTTTTNGGAGACCAGGCCGGTCTCGAACTCACAGAGATCCTCCTGCCTCTGCCTCCCAAGTGCTGGGATTAAAGGCGTGCACCACCACCGCCCGGCTTCTGTGTTAGTTTTCATTTAGTACAAGAAGCTTCTTCTCTGATGAGGGCTGAGCAAGGCATTGATCTAGCAGAATGTCATTAAGAGTCATTTATTGCTATGTCCCTTTAGCAGAATAATAATAGTATTAGGTTTTTCCTAGGCCTAGATCTTAGGTTCTTGGTTTCTTTAGCAGAGTCAGATGTGGAGTCTAGCTCCTGCAGTAGGTCTTAAATCCAATCAGTAACTGGTTGGTTACTTCTAAAACATATATGCCACTATTGGCACCAGTATATCTTGCAGACAGCATACTGTAAAATATGGTTATCTTGTTGTACAAATGGTTTGAGACCCATCAACTCTGTAGCCCTAGAGTGTAAGCCTATGATGTTAGGACCAAATTTTGTCACCTTTCTCTTTAGGCAATGATTGATAATTAGTAAGTATTCAATGAATATTTTTGAATCTTTAGTGGAGAGCAGTAGTAGTCAATATATTAAATGAATACTTTGATGAAAATAAAGTTTTTGGTTTTTCAAGACAGCGTTTCTCTGTGCAGCCTTGGAGCCTTGAACTCACAGAGATCTGCCTGCCCCTGCCTCCCAAGGGTGTGCACTACCACTGCCCAGTGAAAATAAAGTACTTTATAATATCTTGAAATAGTACTCGAAACAAGAAATGCAAATATTGTCATTAAAAATAAAGACAAGTGAGAATTATCAGAAACCTCTGAAAATTACATAGAAAAGTAGTCATAATTATCTTCTGTAATTATACACTTGAATTCCTTGAGACAGAAACTACCAAAAATATTCAAAGCAGTATTATTTACAGTAGCTCCAAATTTAAGATAATGGTTATTCATTAATAGCATGAAAAATCATTTAAGAAATGACCCTAAGATAACCTAAAAGTTGGATTCTGAACTGAAAAGTAAAAATATTATAGAACAAAAAATTTATATGGTCTCATATATATATATGTTTTTGGAGACAGGGTTTCTTTGTGGCTTTGGAGTCTGTTCTGGAACTAGCTCTTATAGAACAGGCTGGCCTTAAACTCACAGGGATCCTCCTGCCTCTATCTCCCAAGTGCTGGGATTAAAGGTGTGCACCACCACAGCCTGGCTATAATAATATATTTTTAAAATGAATGAAGCATTAATAAAATTAAAGTGTTAGTAAAATTAAAGCTGTATAGGTAGAAATCATTTATTTCAAGGATTATAGAAAAATTTTTTGAAAAGAGAATTGTGCTTCACAGGCCTGTAGAATAGCACCAAGTGATTTAAAAATATGTAATTATAATCTCTGAGGAAGAAAGGAGAAAAAATGGCAAAAGGAAATTATTTGAGAAAAATTATTAAAATTTTTTTCTTTTGTTTTAAAATAAATTTAGGCTTTGACAATTTTGTACCTGTTTGTAATACATTTTGGTCACATACTCATTCCTCTCATCCCTTTGCTTCTTACCCTATGCCCCTCTAAACCCAGTAATTATCACTTCTTCCACCTAGTACCTATCTCTTTTTATATCTTTTTGTTTTGTTTTTGCCTTGTGACCCACTGGGTTTAACCAGAGTATATGTATATGAGTAGGAAAATATTCACTGGGGCATCTGTAACTTGCCAGTGACTATATTACAAAGCTTTTGGTTTTTGATTATGTTTGTTTGTTCTTTTTTAAACTTGGCTATCAGTAAGCCCCAAACAGAATAAATAGAATGAGAACTATATCTAGGCAGGCATACATTAGTCAAAGTGCTAAACCAAGGATAAAGAGGAACTTAAAATCACACATAAGAAATGTCACACTATAGAATTGTGAGACAAATGATGATATAAGGCACAAAGACAACACAACAAAGGAATGGCATATATAAAATGCTGGAAGAAATAATCTGTCTTCATAGGATTTTCTACACAGAAAAAATAACACTAAGATCTATGCTACAAGAAATGTTGAAAGAATTTCTTGAGGCTGAAGAAAATGATACTAAACAGAAATGTAGATTAGTTAGAAGAATGAAAAGCATCAGAAATGGTAAATATTAAATATTTCATCTTTAAGAATTTCAAACATTCTCTTGAAGTTATTTTTTATGTCATTTTCTTCTGGTTCATCCATATTTGGTTGTTCAGGTCTTGCTATTGTAGGGTCTTTAGGTTTTACTGGTGTTGTGTTGCTCTTTGTGGTGTAGCATGTGATCTTACCTTTTCCAGGGGCCCTGATGTTGGTAATTTAAATTGTTGAATGCTTAGGAAGATGATGATATCTAATAGGCTGAACATGCAACATGCCCATGATCCAGCCATTTCAATTTTGGGTATCTATCAGAGGAAATTACTATATATTTGTAACACAAGATTTTCATAAGAACATAGAATTAGTTAAGGATCTAAGAATAATTACATAAGCAATCTGTGTTACATTCATGTAATGGAATATTACCAGAGAAATTGACAAACTATTTATATACATAACTATTTGGTACAGGCTTTAAATGAATAGAAAGAATACATATACCATAAAAATATTGGATAAATTTCAAAACCAAATAGTATTTGAGGAAACATATAAAACAGAAAATAGAAGAAAAGTATTAAATAATATTTACTGGGCTGGCAAGATGGCTCAGTAGCTAAAGACTACTTTATTTTTTTTGCCACTAAACCTGACAACCTAAGTTAGATCCTTGGGTCCACTTGGTACAGAGAGAAAACTGGCTCATTCAAATTGTCCTCTGACCTTCACATGCATTGGTTGCATACTTCCGCCCCTCTCTATCTAAATAGATAAGTATAATAAGTTTTAAAAGCACTAAAACAATCTTACTTGTAAATATTAAGAATATTTATAACATTTTGAGGGGGCTGTAGGGGAAACCAAAGAAGATGAACAGAAACTTACTGATATTGGTAATATCTTACCTTAGCTTAAAGTTTACAGTTGATTTATGGATATTGAGAGCATTCTGGTTCACTGTTCACTACCTATGCCTTCTTGGTGGAATTCTTGTCTCCTGCTTTGACATATTTCCTTAGTTACAATTTAACTCTCAGGTAAAGTGAATCTGGGCAATAAGTGCTAATTTAGGGTTCTTTGTATCTCCTGACATTACTATATTTGAGATACAGCTGTGCAATATATAAAATATGAGAAAACAAAAAATTAAAAACATTCTTTATGGAAAACATTAAATATATTTTTATTTGAATGCATGGGGTTTCAGTTAGTTATGGATTATCATAAAATGAAAACTTACCAACTTAAATATTAAGAAAATTTTTAGTTTCTTTCTACAAAGACTTAAAGTTCTTGTCATACAGGTATTTCACTTATTTGGTTAGAGTTGTCCCAAGATAGTTTATATTATTTGTGGCTATTGTAAAGGGTGATGTTTCTCTGATTTTTTTCTCAGCCTGTTTATCATCTGTATCTAGGAGGGCTACTGATTTTTTTGAGTTAATTAATCTTGTATTCTGTCACATTGTTTAAGGTGTTTATTATCTGTGGGAGTTCCTGGTAGAGTTTTTGGGATCACTTATATATTTTGTCATATCATCTGCAAACAGGAAAAGTTTGACTTCTTTTCCAATTTGTATCCCCTTGATCTCCTTTTGTTGTCTTATTGCTCTAGCTAGAACTTTGAATACTATATTGAATAGATATGGAGAGAATGGACAGACTTATCTTGTTCCTGATTGTAGTGGAATCACTTTGCTTTTCTTTCCATTAGTTTGATATTAGTTGTTGGCTTGATGTATATTGCCTTTATTATGTTTAGGTATGTTCCTTGTATCCTTGGTCGCTTAAAACCTTTCTTTTGTCGAAGTCTTTTTCAACAATTAATACAATGATCATGTGGCCTTTTTTTTTTCTTTCAGTTTGTTTATATGGTGAATTACATTGACATATTTTCATATGTTGAACCATCTCTGTATCTCTGATGTGAAGCCC